TATCTTTGCCTTCACTATTGTGGCGTTGGGTGCTCTATCTTTAAGCATCTTTAAAGACACATCACCTAAAGCAAATAAATGAAGGAAAAGATAAATCTCTGGGATTATGCCAAATTAAAAATCTTCTGCCCAGCAAGAGACATTAGCAAAATCAAAGAGACACCCCACTGTTTGGGAGAAAACTTTTGCACACAATACTATTGAGAAAGAACTTACCACAAACATCTACAGAGAGCTAACGATACTCAACATAAAGTCAACAACCCAGTCAAAAAAATGGGCACAAGAGCTGAAAAGACACTTTTCCAAATCATCAGGGAAGTACAAAAAGAAAACCACAATGAGATACCACCTCACAGCAGTGAGAATGGCACATATTAAAAAATAGCTAGCAACAACAACAGATGTTGGCAAGGATGTGGAGAAAAATGAAGTCTCCCACACTGCCGGTGGGAATGCAAACTGGTGCAACCGCTATGGAAAGCTGTGTGGAGCTTCCTCAAACTACTAAAAATGGAGTTTCCATAGGATCCTGTAATTCCACTCCTAGGAATCAACCTAAAAGGACACAAAAACATTAATTCAAACGGGCACCTGCACCCCATGTTTACTGCAGCACGCTTTACCACAGGTAAGCGATGGAAGCAGCCCAGTGCCCAAAAGTAGATGACTGGGTCAAGAAGATGTGGTATAGTTACACGGTGGAATATTACTTGGCGATCAAAAAGGATAAACTCATGCCCATCGCAGCAGCATGGATGGAGCTGGAAGTGCTTATGCTCATTGAATTAAGCCAGAAAGAAAATGAAAAATGGCCTCACTTAAGGAGGAATGTAGAGGAGCCAAATAAGGGGTCAGGGAAATAAAAGTAACTGATGACATCAAAGTCAAAATCATCAGGCAACTATAGAACAGAGACATTCTTTAGGGGAGGAGGAGGGGGAACAATCAGGACAGGAGGGGGGAAGAGCACAGAGCACAAGTGACTATGGTGATGGTGCACGGGTGAATTGGTGGTGGGAATTTCATTTGGAAGTCATATATTGTACAAAAATGAAGGCTGATGTAACGAATATATTTAAAAAAGTAAAAAGAAATAAAATGTGGGTTATTCTTCCAATCCATGAACACGGGATATCTTTTCATTTATTTGTCTTATTTCCTTTAACAATGCCTGATAGTTTTCAGTGTATATGTCCTTCCTCTCCTTTCTTAAGCTTACACCTAGATAATTTCATCCTTTTTGGTGCAGTTTTATTTATTTTTATAATTCACTAACATTACTTTTATTTGTGAAAGCAAATGCAATTTTTTTGTTCCAAATATACTAGGCATTGGGTTTTATTTATTTATATTACCTTATGTCATTGTAGTCCTCAGAATTTTCCCACCTCCACATCACCCGTGAACCATCATCAAACTCCCTTGTGTTCATCCCTCCAATCTCCACCAACCTTCCCAATCTCCCCCCTCCTTAGCTGTATGCTTGTATTTTATGGTCAGCTGCTAATTTTGACATGTTCTTGTCCTTTCGCTTGGTGTCTCCATATTCCACATTTAAGTGGGACTCTGATATTTGTCTCTTTCCTCCTGACTAATTTTGGCTAGCATAATTCCTGCCAGCTCCATCCATGTTGCCACAAATGGCATGAGTTTCTCCATTTTGATCACTGAGTGATATATATTCCATTTTATAAATGCACCACGACTTCTTTGATCTGTTCATCTATTTCGGGGCATTTGCATTGTTTCCGTATCTTGGCTATTGCAAATAGTGTTGCTATAAATAGTGCAGATGTCTTCCAAATGAGTGTTTTTGTTCCTTTGGGCAGATTGCTGGGAGTTGAACTTCTGTATCATACGGTAGACCCAATTTTAATGTTCTGAGGAATCTTAGAATACAGCTTTCCATGGGTGGCTGGACCATTTGAGATTCCGACCAGCAGTGTAAGATGGTTCCTTTATCTCTACATCCTCTCCCGTTTTGTTGTTTCCCGTTTTTGTCTGTTTGCTTGTTTTGTTTTGTTTCGCTTGTTTATTATTTAATGTGGGCCATTATCACTTAGGTGAGGTGGTATCTCATTGTTGTTTTGATTTGCATTTTCCTGACAACTAGTAATGTTGAACATGCTTTCCTATGACTACCACACATTTGCATTTCTTCTTTGGAGAAGTTTCCTTTTCTTTATTAGTTCTTTTCCTTGTTTTCGACTGGGTTGTTTAGTTTGTTCTTGTTGAGTTGTGTAGCCCTTTGGTATCAGCACTTTATCTGTCACATGGTGTGCAATGATCTTGTCCCATTCAGTGGGATGTCTCTTTGGTTTGATTATTGTCTCCTTTGCTGTACAGAAACCTTTTAGTTTGATCTAGTCCCAGCTGTTTATCTTCTCCCTTGCTCCTTTGTTGTAGACTACTTGACTGTGTGCCTGTGGTTTGATTTCTGGGCTTTCAATTCAATTCCATTGTTCTGTGTGTCTGTTTTTGTTGCATTACCATGCTGTAATTATTATTATGGCTTTGTAACATTGTTTGGAGTCTGGGAGTGTAATGCTTCCATTCTCCCCCCTTTTAGCCAGGAGAGCTTTCGCTAAGGATTTCATCAATATTTGCTCTACTTCTTTGAAGAATGTCATTGGGATTTTTATTGGAATTGCATTGAATCTGTAAATTGCTTTTGGCAGGATGGCCATTTTTATAATGCTGATTCTTCTAATCCATGAGCAGGCAATATGCTTCCATTTCTTCGTGTCTTCTTCTACTTCTTTTAACAGTGTTTTGTAGTTTTCCTTGTATAGGTCTTTCACCTCCTTTGTCAGGTTTATTCCCAGGTATTTAAATTTGACGGGCACAAATGTAAACAAATGATTTTCTTAGTTTCTTCTTCTTGAGATTCATTGTTTGCTTATAGGAAGGCTACTGATTTGTGTGCATTGATTTTGTAACCTGCTACTTTTCTAAATTGGATTATTGTTTTAAGTTAATCCACTACTTTTCTAAACTGGATGATTGTTTCAGTTTGTTTTCCTGTGGCTTCTCTCTCACTATCTATCTACCTATCTATCTATCTTATCACATCATCTGCATATAATGATAGTTTCATTTCTTCGTTCATCTGCATATAATGATAGTTTCATTTCTTCTTTCATCTGCATATAATGATAGTTTCATTTCTTCGTTCATCTGCATATAATGATAGTTTCATTTCTTCTTTCCCTACTTGGATTTCTTTTATGTCTTTTACTTGCCTAATTACACTGGCTACGAGGACTTCTAGCACTATACTGAAAAGCACTGGCTGTGGCGATAGTGGACATCCTTGTCTTGTTCCAGATCTTAATGAGAAAGCTTTCAGTTTTTCAACATTAAAATGATGTAAAAATATATCAAACAATTAAAATAGAATGATGTTAAGATGATACGTCTTTCATTGTATTAAGATCTGCCCCTCTTATCCCAAGTTTTTCGAGGGCCTGCATCTAAATGGATCTAGGACTTTGAAGGATTAGCGTTTGGTTCCATTGTTCTTTTCGATCATTCTTTTTTACTATTCCATTTATTTCTGTTTGAATTTTTTTTAAAGATTTATTTATTTGTGCATGCAGAACTGGAGTACAGGTCAGAGATGCAGGGGCGGTGAGAGGATTCACCAGAGACAGAGTGGGGAGCAGAATAGGTTAACTGACAAAGTCCACTGCTGAGGGGAGCGGTGGACATTTCTGGAGAGGTCTGCCACGCCATGTGTTCACCTCCGGGGTGGGGATCAAACTCAGGCTGAAGTGGCTTTAGCTTCTTAGTGCTGTGCTTTAACCTGCTGCGCCACCAGGGAGGGCTCCTGTTTGAATTTTTAATGTTTCCTTTATTCTGCTGGATTCTGGATTTTTGTTTGTTTCTTTGTTTGTTTGTTTTTGCTGTTATTATTCTAGTTCCTCAATATGGGAGATCTGGGTTATGTCCCTTTCCCCCTTTAATTATATTTTACATCATTCTTCATTTTGTACATTTTTTCCATCTCAACTGTGGTCCCCATGCCTCCCCACCATCAGTTCACCCATGTGCCATCACCACAGTCCAGTGAACTCTTCCCACCCCAATTCCGATCCCATTCCCACTCCCACCTCCATAAAATGTCTCTGGTTTATAGTTGCTCATTGTTTTCATTTTTACTCTGTTACATTTGTTTTTCTCTTCCCCCACCCCCGCCCCCCGCCCGATCTCTTATGCTCCCGCTATCAGTTTAAACATCGGTAGTTTCCTTTTTCTTTCTGACTTATTTCACTGAGCATGATCCCTTCCAGCTCCATCCATGTTGCTGCAAAAGGCATGAGTTTGACTTTTTTATTGCTGAGTAATATTCCATTGTGTATATGTACCACATCATTTTAACCTGAAACTATTCTTCATTTCTTTTTCTAAGTGTCTCTGTTCTACATTTTTGCTTTGTGGTTACTATAAGGGCTGTATCAAACTTTCTCCACCTAGAATAGCCTCTTTTTGTGTGTGCTGGTACCAACTAATCATCATTATTTGACTATGCAGATTATATATTTTCCCCCTCATATCTAATATCTTATTGTTATCTCATATTACTCTCATTTATACTTTTGATTCCACATTGCTCTTTGTCGCCTCGAACTTGCCAGGTTTTTATGATCTTTGAAATGCTACTTTCAAGTTGAAAAACTCCTTCCAACATTTCTTTAAAATAGAAAAGATTTATATATTTTTATTTATTCATGCATACAAATACTGGGGTGTAGGCCAGAGGTGGGGGGTGTATGGGAGAGGATTCACCAGAAACAGAGTGGGAAGAGCAGATGGATCTACTGAAATACCCTGAGGAGGGGAGTAGCCGAGAACACAGGAGAGGTCTGCTGTGCCATTTGGGTCAGCACCCTGGCTGGGGATCGAACTCGTGCCACAGTGGCTGATGATAGCTTGAGAGTGCTGAGAGTTTACTCCCCGCAGATTTTACTCCCTGGGAAGCATCCCTATATTTCCTGTGGGACAGATCAGCTGATGGTAAACACCAACAGCTTTTTATTTTTTCCCTGAGAAAAAACTTTATTGCTCTGTCATATTCGAATGAAGGTTTTGTAGAAGGCAATGTTTTTGGCTCATGGAATTTTTTTTTTAAGATTTATTTATTTATGCATACAGAACTGGGGTACAGGCCAGAAGTGTAGGGGCAGTGAGAGGATTCACCAGAGATAGAACCGGGAGCAGAACAGGCTGACTGAGGAATTACACTGCTAAGGGAAGCAGTGCTGGGCCAGGAGAGGTCTGCCACGCCATGTGGGTCTCCTCTGGGGCAGGCGGGAATCGAACTCATGCTGAAGTGGCTTTAGCTTCTTAGTGCTATGCTGTAACCTGCTGTGCCACCAGGGAAGGCCCGGCTCGTGGAATTTTTATTTTATTTTTTAAATTATTAATATGTCATTATACTCTCTTCTGGCTATAATTGTTATTATAGTTGTTGTTGTTGCTGCTGCTGCTGCTGCTGCTATTACTTTTTGGATAGGGTCTCTGCTCCCTTGTCTCTCTCTTCACCTCTGGAGTGTCCACTATCCCATCATCCTGACGTTGCCTCTTCTAATGGAGTCTGATATTTATTTTCATTTTTATCCAAGTCTTCTTTCTCTTCTTCTACTTGGATCATGTGTAAACATCTGACTTAAATTTCTGACGTTCTCTCTTCTAATGCCAAATTAGGTACACTTAGGATGCTTTCCATATTTGTTCCTAATTTCATACAACATCTCGTCAATCTCTGTAATGAAGCACTCTTTTTTGTTTCTGAATGTATTATCTAACATCCTGAACCTGACTTTCTGGCTTGATTTTACTCTAAGACCTCATTGAATTTCCTTATGAAAGTTATTCTGAAATCATTGTCTGTGAGTTGCTCAAATTCTGTGCTGTTTGTACAAGTTTCTGGACACCTCGTCTTCTCTTCCAGCTTTTCCAGCTTGTGTTCAGTTTTTCCTTGTTTCCTGGGCATGTGTGCTTTTATTCTGGCTGGGACACTGCCTATAGTTTTGTTTTTCTTCTTTGTTTAACTTGGTGGCCAGCTAGGGAGGGATGGGACGCTGGATTCCAAAGCCTCGGTGTCAGTACTGGCGAGGAGAGAGAGCGATTCCAGGTGGAGAGTTTCACATTTCCTATTCTGCCTTTTCCCCAGAGCAAACACGCTCCCTGCTTCATGGATCCCAAATTCTAGGGTTGTGCCTCTTTGATGCTCCTCTCCACAGAGTATGCAGGTCTCTCCAATCTCCCAGCAGGGCTGGGGGAGGCTTCTCTGTCACCCACCCTGCCAGTAGCCAAATTCTCTGTGAAAATACCAAAGGTCCCAGCACCCACATCCATGTAGGTCTGTGCACCGCCTCCCCCCCACTCTCACTGAATAACATTAACCATGACCCCTGTGTTATGCTATCT